ACACATTGAATGGCCAGATACTGCTTCTTGCCAGTGAAAAGGAATATCTAAGAGATATGCGTTGTACAGAAACTCCACAACGCCTCCACTTGAGCTACGTCCGTGTGTCCATTATGCCATTTATGTTTGTGAAGATGTATGTAAAGGAGCCTATGAAACAACTAACAATAGCTAGGAAATTGGTTTGCTAATGGTAAGCATTACTTTATGCTCCTTCTCTAAGGAGATCATTATCCATACATGGCAATCATTCAAATGTGAGAGACATTAAATGTGCAAAGTCGGTTGGATAAACAAAGTATCAGTTAGGAACTGTTTCCTGTTATAAAAGGCTGAGATGCTATCAGATACCATGAAAACATCGAGAGAGAGAGTTTCTTAAACATGGTCTCTGAAAACTTTTCTGAGAGCAAATCTGTCCTCCAACCTATTCCCACTGGGACAGTTTGAGCCCTTTACTTTCAATGTTGGGCTGGAAGGTTTTAGGATGCCACTACAATGGAAAGGAAAAAAGAGCTTATTTTCTTATAAAGCAGGATCATAAAGAAAAAAGTTCACTGGAGCACAAATCTTAGAAGATGAAGGAACCTGTTCTCACTAGTGCTGCTGTAATATTATTTCAATAAAATCCACCATGGAGGAGGCAAAAAACACAAGTTTGGGATTTACTATGCATGCTACCAGTGAAGTTTCATTTTAACTGCTAAAAGCTGTATCTATGTCAGAGCAGTAAAGATTTCTCTGTCCGTCAGGCTGATAATTGACTTGCCAGGTTTACCAGAAATGTCAAATCCCTGTTTTAAAATCCCTATTCCCAGGGTCAAGAGGTACCTTCTGTGGTTTAAATGAACAGCAGCACTTTCAAGCAGAACAAAGTAAGGAAAACCTGTATCTCAAAAGATTGTTTCAAATTTCTGAACCTTGGTTCCTTTCATTCTTTGGTTAGTTGTTTTTGATTATCATTAATCAAGGTGTTGCATGAAAAAGGCAATAATTCAATTCCTAGATTCTTAAGCAATGATTTGTAAACAAGCCAGAAAAAGAGTAGGGTTTCCCATGGTAATATCCATGTAAAACAAAATATTTGCTCATTTTTTTTCAGTTTAAAAGTTCAACTTTTCATAAAAATAAAAAGGAGCAAAATTAGCTGTGAACTAAAAAAATTAGACAAAATGGAAAATGTTTGGCCAGGTGTATCCATTTTCATCTTTCCTATGAGAAAATACTGTTTTTATTCCAAGAAAGCAGTTTTCACAAAATTGCCAGAATGAAATTTTCATTGGAATGAAATGTTGATTTTTTAACTACCCGAGTTTTAATATGCTATAGTAATGTTTAACTTCCAAAATTTATTTTCAAAATAAATTCACTGGACAATCTTATTTACAAGCACATTATTAAAAACATAGACAATAAGTGAAGTTTGAAATGATTTAGATAAGGTCTACAAAATAATCTTTTGGAGTGAGCTATCCAATCACTTTGTTTCTACTTTTCAGTTTAATTCTTGAGCAATCAACTGCATCAATGCACTCAGATATATCATTCCTGTCTTATCTGTATTGGGAAAACCAGATTTAAAAACTGTTGATTTAAATATGCTTATCAGAGCCATGAAATTCCTTTAGGTTTATTTTGTCCTTCTGAAGAAATACATATTGACATATTATTACGTGACCAGTGTCATTCCTGCCAAAAAATATCAAAAAACTAAATATGTTAAAAATTCTCTCACTGGATGAGGCCAGGTTGGGTAGAGTCCTGCACTGGGGATGGAATAACTGCATGTACAAATACAGCCTGGGGAGTGACTGGCTATGGTGCAGTACTTCAGAGAAGGACCTGGAGGTTACAGTGGGCCATAAACTGAATATGAACCAACAGTGTTCTCTTGTTAAAAAAGCCAACAGCATCCTTGGTTGTATTAACAGGAGTGTCACTTGCAAATCAAGGGAAGTGATTCTTCCACTCTACTCAGCACTGGTAAGGCTTCACCTGTAACACTGTGTCCAGTTTTGGGTCCCACACTTCAAGCAGGATGTGGACAGTTTGGAAAAAGTGCAGCACAGAGCAACAGAAATAATTAGAGGCCTGGGAATAATAATTTATGATGGAAGGCAGAAAGAGCTCAGGTTATTTAGTCTGGAGAAGAGGAGACTGAGAAGGGGATTTTTCAAATACCTGATGGGCAATTATAGAAAGGATGGAAATGGACTTTTCTCTGTGGCTGTAGGGGACAAGACTAGGAGCGCAAGGGCCTCAGATTGTAGCAGGGAAAATTTAGTTCAGAGATTAAGAAAAGCTTTCTCACTATGAGAATGGTCAAGCATTGAAATGTTCAAGAGCAGGTTAGACACACTCTTGGCTAAGATGGTTTATTTAGTCAGGGATCTTCCTGCCTTAAACAGGGTGATGGACTATATGACCTCACAAGTCCCTTCCAGCCCTGCTTTCCTATGATTATTAGTGTTACCATATCTAGAATCCTAGTCACAGATTAGTACTAACTGTACTAAGCACTTGCCTCACACAGAACAAAATACACCAGCCCCAAAAAGTGTACAATGTAATTATGTCAATGAACGGGAAAGCCCAGACCTCTTCATCTTGCTGGTTTAGCTCACAAAAATAATTTTGTAATTCATAGTCCTTACACGGATTCAAAACTCATCTTCTTGGCTTGCTGCTTTATTTCTATCACATCGTTCCTTAGATTCATTTTTCCCCATTGCATTAAGCAAAAACTACTTGTTTTCACTTTAAGACTCTTCAGAGCCTACCTCTGTCTAACCTACCATCTCTTCTTTGGTACAGTACACTTAACCTGTGCCTTAGCCTTGCTAACAATGCTAACTTTTCCATAGTGACTTTACATTTTCCTCCGTTATGCCATTTATGTTTGTGAAGATGTATGTAAAGGAGCCTGTGAAACAACTAACAATAGCTAGGAACTTGGTTTGCTGATGGTACACATTACATCATGCTCCTTCTCTAATGTATTGTACCATCCATTGCTGCTCATCCTCAACTTCAACTCTAAGTTTTCTAGAGCTTGGTCTGTCTTTTCAGTATCAATGCATACAGTGTTTACTGCACTGGATCTTTACATCTGGTTGAGGCCTGTGTGTGCTACTGCGGTACAAATCAGAGGTATATCTGGGCAGTTATGCACCCTGAGAGGTGGCAGTGCACAGGGCAGGCTGCTGGCAGTGGCTGGGCCAGCAGTGCAGTGGTTGCTATTTTTGTATTCCCACCCAAGCTGGTGCCCAGTGCTGGTGCCCCAATCACCCCCACCCTTAGTTATGCTACTGATACAAATTAAAAAAAAGAAGAGTAAGGGCGCATGCAGATGAGCACGGATGTGCAGTATGTGGCACTGCAGACCCATCTGTGGCACCACACACTGCACATGCCAGCAGTCCCCGTGCTACTACTTTGCAGCAAGGGGTTTTTTTTGGCTAATTTATATTTATAACGCATGCCTAAAAAAAAGTGGGGCAGTGCATGTGGCAGCAGTGTGTGCCACCCAAAACCAGAGTCTGGCTAATTGGAACCACACACTGGCTGCCAGCCAGGCTCCCAGCTGCAGAAGTGCCATGACTGCAGCTCCCAGAGGCCCCTAGAGCCCCAAGTAAGGCTGCCGGGGCCAGTACAGTTGCTGGCCCCAGCCTCCCCTACCTGACCTGGGGTAACCTGCCACACACCAGAGCATGTGTGGCATGGGCATTGCTGGGGAACACCAGCAGCAGCACAAGGTGCGCTGCTGCTACTTGTCCCTGGGGAAACACACGTTCCCACTTGGCTGGACATGCCCTAAGTCTAGATAGGGGATGATATTTTTCAAATTATCAGTCCCTCTTTTTCAGATAGCTAAGAGGTAATGTTGAGAGAGTAACAAGGCAAAGTGATCTGGAATTGATAGACAAAAATCAGTGGTGTGGTATCTTGCACAGGTGAGTCCTACCCTTGGGATGTTTAATCCCACCACTACACTTTACAAAAGTGCTCTCACAGTAAGGTGGGTTTTTTTCAGGAAAAATTAAGCTTTGTGGAAGAAGCCAGTAGTAGGACACCTGCAAAGTTCTCATCTATGGGGGAAAAAGTGTTCATGTATCCTTAATATCTTCCCAGCTATAATGACTGAGAACACAAGTCTTAACAATCATGAAACTTCCTTTTTTGTGTTAATTTCTTTAGACAGTAACCACATTTTTAGATTGGTTTAAGTAACTATAAAACCCCACAAACATCTCTAGTGCTAAATATTTCACTTAACCCAGAACCTCAAAATAGTCCCTACATGATACAGCTCATAAAATTGATACGCATGCTTATTATGTATGTGTAAAATTCACATCTTCACAGAACACTGAGCTACCAAAATTGGCCCACCTACGCATGCATGCAAGGGCAGATCCAGAGAAGTGCAGGGAGTGCGGCAGCACCTTACTTCTGCTGTGTAGTACATGTGCATTAAGCTCTCTGTGCTCACTAGCTTGTCAGCACCAGAGCCCATGGGGTGAACACTGGCACTACTGACTCTCTCACCTCCTTGCCTGCTGCTCCAGGAAAAAAATGTGGGGAAAGTAGTTTCCTGAGGTCCAGAGCCTCACTGACAAGCCGGTGAACTCAGAGACCTCACTGCACGTGTACGGCACAGCCAGGGAGGGGTGTGGCTGCTCCCTCTTTTCCTCTGCCCACCTCCTGGATCTTCGCATCTTATTATGCTGTGGTGCTGGCAGAAATAGGGGGCTTGGAAGTACCTGTGTAGTCACCATGAAGAACCTTTATTAAAGTCAGCCCAAGAGTAGTGTGGGCGTTGTCAGCTACATGGGGAGGAGCAGGCATTTCAATGTGAAGGCTGGAGCCAAAAAAAATCTCTAAAACTGACTCAGAATTAGCTGTGAAGCAATTTAGATGACAGAAGCACATAGGGCTTCCTCTTTACAGCTCAGTTTATCTACCTATATAAATAGATGTATGCTCATATGGTCTCCTACCTGATTACACGTGTTGATGTCTATTCCGCTCTTCAGATACTCCACTACTTTGTCCAAATTGCCAGCTCTGGCAGCTCGGAGAAAGCTTGCATTGCTGTCGGACTGTGAAAAAAAAGGGAAACCAAAACTTTAGTTAAACACTGTTTTAAAGAGATGGTTTATGCTGCAGGAGCAGCTTAGCACAAAGAAAAATGACCGTGCATTTTACCAGTGTTGATTTATATTCCTAACAGTACAGCATTGGCACAAATAAAAGACTCATCAAACTCAGCAAAATATTGCAAGAAGAGCGGAAGGTCAAAATATAGTCAGACAAAGGAGATGAAAAATCCTACTAATTAAAGTTAACACCAGTAGGTAAAGGAACAGCATTTTTAGTACATCAATCTGCCACTCAGGCTATGCCATTTATATACATGCCCAACTCTCTGACCATACAAACTATTATGAGGCTCATTGTTCAATGTGGACGCATGCCTTGGGCAGCTGCTATGCATAAAGAAAGATGACAAAATACTTTTGAAATAAAAAAGATGTGAGGACAAATTCTGGAGCAAACCAGGTATAGTAAATGTATATTCAACAGAGAGAACTCTTGTGGAAGGACATCCCTGTTGTCTTCAACCTTGTGGTGAATCAAGAGGAATAATGCTCAAGAAGACTTAAGAACTCTTTAAATAAGCTTCATCAGCAATGAAAAAAATCTTTTCCAAAAGAGATGGGGTAAACAGTGAAAGCAGCCAAGAAACTCAGGAGTCTAAAGCTACAGAGAAAATCATCTCTGATGGCTCTAAGGCCTTCAACAGATGTTCAGTTTCTCCAGGGAGAGTCCTTGCTCTCTCAGGAGAAACCACAAGCGTACAGAAGTTCATCATTTTTCTTACAGAGTAAAAGTAACCACTTGGGAAGAAACATAACTTGGGAACAACGGAGGAAACAGCCCCCCAGAGAATCTCTCTCAGGAGACAAGACTTTGGTACAGGCAGCCAGTGTGCTTCACTACTTTGCCTCCCTCTCCCACAGAGGGAGGAAGAGTGTGCATCAGTCCCAGCCAAGCAGGGAGCAGAACATGCCCCCTTGAGTGCTTTGGGCTGGAAAAGCCCAGTGCTGAAGTACTTGGGGGGGGTGCTCTGCTTCTGACTTCTTCCCTGCCTGAATCACACTGCAGCACTTGGGTTCTAGGAAACATATAAGCATATTCCTTGCCTAGTCACATAG